ATTGAAACCCTTGACCATGTCAGTCTTTTTTCCACATGTTATAGTGTTGCCTGTTGATACAGAGGGGAGGATTTTTATTTCTTGATGCTAAGATGTAATCCATATTGAAGACTATAGTCTTGGATCTTCTGCAGCAGATGTTTCATGAATATGTTTTACTCTGAACAAGCTTGGTTGTTCCACTTGCATGACAGAGGTTGTTGATGAGTCTTCCTCTAATTCTGATGCCACATTCTTCTTCATAAAGTCTGACTTCTCAAATGATTTTCTTAACATAGAGCTTGGATAGGTGTGGAGAAAAGATTCAACCCTGGTGCACACCTTTCTTGATTGTAAACCTTGCAGTGTGTCCTTCTGTTTGAACAACAGCTTCTTGGTCTAGGTATAGGTTTTCTCCTCAGTGTTCACAGTAATTTGTTATGAGCTACACAGCCCAGTGCCTTTGTGTAGTCTCCATTCTTAATTGTCCATTCATAGGAAATAGTTGAAAATACTGTGGTTTGAGTTAGGTGCACCTTAGTCTTTGAAGTGACGCCTTGTATTTTCATCAGTTGAAGCCCTTGGCACCATTATTTCCCAATGCAGTGCATAATTTGATTTCTTGACTCCTGTTTCCATGTGTGTAGATAGTGGATCCAAATACAAAGAAATCATTGACAGCTTCAGTCTTTCTCCATCTATTAGGGTGTTGCCTCTTGGTCCACTGTGAGAGGTTTTCTTTTCATAATGTTGAGATGTGATTCATACTGAATGCTACAGTCTTTGAGCTTCATAAACAGTTCTTCTAACCCTGATGCCACATTCTTCTTCATTTGGTCCAACTTCTTGAATTACTTACTTAGCATATAGAATGACTATGATGTGGAGAAAGGATACAGCCCTCATTCAAACCTTTCCAGATTTTAAGCTACTCCCTTGTTCTGTTCAGACAACTGCCTCTTGGCCCATGACATGAGCAAGATGAAATGATCTGGAATTCCATTATTTTCAATGTTACCCATAATTTGTTTTGATACAGTCAAAACTTTTGCATAGTCAATAGAACAAAACCAAAATGTCTTAATGGTATGCTCTGCTTTCAGCCACAATGGATCTGATCTCAGCAATTATGTCCTTGTCTCATACTGTTTCCCGAGACCAGATGTAATCACCTGCGCATTTTTGCATGTGCAGATCTGAGAAATAGCCCTACAGTCAGCCCCCTCCCAGCCCGATACAATGCAACCCTCTCAGCCTTTGCTCCTGCACTTCATGGACTTCCTGCACCAGCGCATAAACCGGTCTCCCACTGTATCTTCTTTCAGGACACCCTTCTTGGAGGGTAAAATAATCCCTTTCTGGGGATGTGAGTGACATCTCTAATCATCTGGCTTTAGGAGGGCTGAACCAGCAGCTGAGACCCAGGTTTTCTCGCTCAGCATTCTAAGTTCTTACCCCTCCTCCTCTGGAGTTCCTGATGAACAGCTGCCCATGAAGGCCTGAGCCCAGGCTCCCCAGGGACTCTGTACTGTCTGGTCATGATTCGTTGTGAAGCGGACAGTCACTTCCATGTCCCTCTGTAAACGGACGCTTTGAAGGCTGTGTTTGCCTGCGGAACATTGTCATGCAGTTGTCCCTTATCCAGATGCCTGCTTCGTGACCTTTCCTCCAGGTAGCTGAGACGTTGATGGTCATGTAGACCATTCTCACATCATCATGGGTCTGAATGACTTGGGCTGAGACTGCACCCGCGCTCATCTAATGCCTGTATGTAGTGGTGGAAGCTGGCTGTCTTCTGGAGGTGGAGTTTCTGGGGAGACTGCAGTGTGAGCTTTTTGGAAGCTGGTGGAGCGTCCTAACGTGCTGCTGTAAGACCAGGCCCATCAGTCTTTGCTCTGTGTCTGTGGTGACAGCAGAGGCTGGAACTGAGGTCTGTTCAGCTCACAGATGTCAGTGTCCTGCCATGCGGTTGTCCAGCTGGGTAGCAGCCTGGCCTGAGGACGAGAGGTCCCTGGTTACCTGCAGAGTCCAGGTAGTCCTGGTGGGACAGTCGCTCCAGCCTTCTGGTCAGAAAGTTTGGACGAGTTTGGACTCTGATGCTGCTTAGAAATGTCCAGGTGTAAGGTCTCTGGGCACATAGACCCACCCTTCTGTACATCCCTCTCTTGAAGACTGGTGTTGGCAGCCACCTGGCACCTGTCTTTTGCCTATACCTTCCCATTGCTCCCTTATCTTACTTATTTCTCCCTGCTGGCCACCACTGTGTGTCCACAAGATGTCCAGATTCCCAAGCACCTGCTCTGAGATGAGCCATTCGAATTAGCCATTAGAGGGGTCTGAAATAAACATTTCCTGTAGATCTGCAGTCTGGTGGGCAGAGACATTTCATTCTAAACAAGTCGCTGCCCGGCTGTAGGTCAAGGGATGCATCTTGATTTCAGAATTGCAGAAACATTTGCAGGAGGTGCTGCCTGTCAATGAGGGAAAGGGTAGATACTGCAGACTTGTGGTCAGAAACACAGCTGACATTTCCGGGTTGTCTTTCACATTTTGATGTGATGCTGAGCAGGTTGCAGCAGAGCTTACACATTAAGAGACACTAGGAAGAAAGACCTGGAGATCTGCCTTGAAAAACCAACCAGTGAGAGCCCTGTTGTTAGTTAGCATTAGATGCCAGTAGTCAGTTCTGACTATAAGTGATCCCATGTACTGCCAATCAAAACCCTGTCAGATCCTGCCTCATCCTCACACTCTCTGCCATGCTCAGGTTCATTGTCACACACTGTACCCGGCCTTGTGGAGGGCCTTCCTCTTTGATTGGTCATTTTCTCCAGGGACTGGCATCTCCTGACAGCATGCCCAGCGTCTCCCCATCCTTGCCTCCAAGGAGCACTCTGATTGCACTCATAGATCATGCAGGTCCAGCATGAAGGCAGCCGAGGGGCTGGTTCTAGACTGGGAGCACTTTTTCCTCTTGAGCTTGCGCCTGTCCCCTGGTCAGAGGCTGGTTCCATGAGCGCTTCCTGTGAGCTTCCCAGAGTTGGGGCTGCAGGAGACCCTATGCTGCTGGCAGGCTCCTGGCGTGGCAGCACCTTTTTTGGTCTAGAGCTGTGTGGGGCTCCTTGCCTGGTTGTCCTCAAGGTCTGGTTGGAGCTGGATTGTCCCTCTCAAGTCATCACAGAGATACACCTGTATCTAGGGGTAAAGTGTCTTTGTAGTCCAGGAGACACACTGGGATCTCACTGGCCACGTGTGCCCACCGATGTTGATGTCAGCAGGTGTGAGTGTCCACTTTCTTCCTGCATTTCTCAGACGGGTGATGGTTAAAATTTCTTCCTGTCATAAGAACCCTGTGCTGTGCCCTCCTTGCTCCTGAACTGGTCACACTGTTACCCTAACAGGTGGCCCTTTCTTGTCTCTCTCACTTTAACACACACACACACACACACACACACACACGGAATCATAGGAAGGTCAGGATGTGAGATCCATAGCCCGTGTCCTGTCAGTGCACAGAAATGCTCTGTTGATGCAGCGTGGAGGACAAGATTGGAGCAGGCTGTTCCTCTGTGGTTCTCCTGCACCTCTGGCCATCGTCATCATTGCAGATCGCTGCATTTACCGCTGTGATTGAACTTCTGTGCTGTCCTTAGAGGCCCAGTGGGCAGGAAGGACCACAGCCTCCTGTGCTGGTTTTCTTGAGGTCATTTCCTGGGCCTATGGTTGAGGTCTTTACTAAGAGAGAATCCTACTGGCCAGGCTCTTCTTGGGATGGACAGTGATTGACCTGCTCACCTGAATGCCTTATTCCTGCTGAAAGCCTTGTGTTATATGCCACTGAGTCTGCCTCAGCTCCCAGCCCAGCAGGTTGAAGCCCTGCCCAGTCAAGTGCCATCTACGCGCCCAACACTGCTCGAGCCCTTTGTTGTAATTACTGTCTCCGTGCATTTCATTGTGGTCTTCCACCCCCTTGTTGACTGTCTCCTTTGCATATTATAATGTCCTTCAGAGATCAGGACCCTCCTGATAACGAAATTGCATTGAACACCTCATATTCAAGAAGCTACTAGCCTAGTATGTAGTTGATGACTAGTAATTGCTACAAAGATGCAAACTCTAGAAATGTTGACATTTAGTAGTTTTGGGGTAATGACTGTTTCAAATGTTGGTTACTTTTTATGTTACTATTTTTTTAAATTCAATAAACATAGGGAGCTCTGCTTAGTGGTGTGAAACTGCATTGCAATCCCAAAGGCATGTTGTTTGAATTCACCAGCTGCTCCATGGGAGAAGGATGGACAGTCTCTGACAACTCTCTAGAGGGTCAGCTGTTAAACATCAGCCCAGGGCAGGTCCTTGGCCCTGAGTCTCAGTGTCACTGGTATCAGGCTGGCTGCTGACTCTTGTGTGTGACAGTGCCTAGTGGCTATTGAGGATTGTGGGGACCTCAGCTCTGACCACTGATTTTGGTCATGGCAAGCTGGATCCTTCAGAGAACAGACTTCGCATCAAGTAAGCCAACTCCTGGTCTGGAAGCTGTTCTCTGTAGCGCTGTCGCGACTGGACGTTGTGCTGTGGGGCCTGGTTGAGAAAACCTGAATGCTGCGGCTGGCCTTTTCGGGCTCCCTGAGGACGAGCACCTTCTTACCTCGCTACTACACTTCCTCGGTGACCGTGTCCTCTGAGTGGGCCTAGGGGCAAGGGTTACCAGGGCTCAGGGACTGGAAATCATTGCTCAACTTGCGTGACTAGAATTCTCTCCTTTCCCTCCCTCTTAAATTGAAAATGTATTTTGTTTATTTGATATTCCCTTTCCCCGCAGTGTGAAGTCACCAGATGGCTCTTGGGTAAGTTTGCGTCAGTGCCTTTTGAGGCCTTGTTGGTACCTGTATCACCGTCATTCACTGGCCAGTGCCCATCTGCGGAGGTCGCCTGGACACCAAGTGTTCACTTAGTGGTCTGACAGAGCTTGGGAAGAGCGGTCAGTGTAATCAGCCCAGTCTCTTCTTTTTCGCTCTTAGACTCCACGAGGAAATCATCGACTTTTATAACTTCATGTCGCCTTGTCCTGAGGAAGCAGCTATGCGGAGAGAAGTGGTTAAGCGGATCGAAACGGTCATCAAAGACCTTTGGCCAACAGCTGACGTGAGTGCCTTCCTCTGCTTGCCTGTTATTTGGCCCTTGGCTCCTGCCCAAGGGCCAGTGCCATGTGAAGCTGAGAGTGGACAGCCCCCACCATAATGGTCACTGTCAGAGTGATGGTCACTGTTGGAAGCAGCTCTCAGTGCGGCCCTAGGCTCTCTGGAGCGGGCCTTGCTTGAGCTTTAAGAGGGGGAGACACAGTTCCAGGGTTTGCCATGGCTCCTGAAGGTTTGTGTATGGGCTGTGGAGGCTGCAGGTGGTTCTTCAGCTGGCATGAGGCGGGTTTTTTTTGGGGGGGGTGGACAGGCCTTGTAGGACCCCCACCCACCCATACCTCGTCCCAGCAGAGACACACGGGTGATGGTAGTGGGCTGTTTGGGCGCCGTCATGCAGAAGGACGGAGCCTGGGACCTGAGCCTCTGTGCCTGATGCTGTCCTCTCTTGCAGGTACAGATATTTGGCAGCTTCAGTACAGGTCTCTATCTCCCGACCAGGTAAGCAACAGCTGCTGTGGGAGGCTTGAGTTTCCTTCTGGATGGGGGTTTCTCTATGTGCGTGGGCATGGACGGAGCCTAGTGTGGGTTCCCTGCTTAGAATTAAGGCTTCCCACTTCTTAAGAAGTCTGAGGCACTTGGGAGACCCAGGATCGGCAGGTTAGCAGTTGATGAACCAGGTCAGTTAGCAGTGGGTCGTCGGGGGTCACCTGATCCAAAATAGGAAGACTAAGATTGCCAGGTCAATAGGGGATGGCCTGGGATCACCAGTTAGGGTCAGTGGCGGGTGACCTAGGATGATTGGATTAGTGGTAGGTAGTCTGGGGCTCTGCTCAGCGGTAGGCAGGTCAGTGACTGAGTGGCCAGTTCAAGTGTAGGACGAGCAAGACTCAGGGAGCAGAGTCTTCCATGGAAGCGTGGGACCAGTGCTGGGGCTTGGGGGGTGGAGGGGGTGGGTCTTCCTCCTTTCTCACCAGGCCACCAGAGCCCCCTACTCCATCTCCAGGTTTTTAAATAGCATTCTTTCTTCGAGAGCAGTCACTTAATGATTCTTATTCTGGCCTCGGGGGGAATGCCTACCCTCAGGGGAAGGTGAGAGGAAAGAGACTCACTGTGCCCTTTCTCTCTGTCAGTGACATTGATCTGGTGGTCTTTGGCAAGTGGGAGCGGCCACCTCTACAGCTGTTGGAGCAGGCACTGCGGAAGCACAGCGTGGCTGAGCCGTGCTCCATCAAGGTCCTGGACAAGGCCACGGTGAGTGTGGCCCACAGCCTGGCCTTGGGCCAGATCCAGCACAGCTGCCTGATGGCCTGGGGCGAGTGTGGCAGCACCGATGAGGTGGACATGTGACACTGAGGTGGACGTGTGACACGGAAGGGCCGCACTATCTGTGGGATGTGCTCTGTCTCCTTTGTGGTGCCGAGGAAGGCCACATCTAGACAGAACTCTGGCCTCGTATTGCCGCTGTGCAGCCACACGTGTAAACTGCAGAGATGCGTGTGCCTGTTTTGTGTGTGAGCTTCTCTCCTTGGAGACTTTTTGGGAGATAAAGATCCTTTTTTTGTGTGCTTAGGTTTATCTCTCTGAGTCCTAGATCCTAGCAGCCTCTTCTGTGTTATCTAGCCGGCATTTCCTCTTAATTTGGTGTTTTGTCCCCCAGGATGTCCTCAGGTCCTTTTGACTGATGATAAGCTGGTCAGGCGATAAGAGGGGAGTGTGTGATCTTTCTCCTGGATGATGGTGGTAATGTGTTCTTGGTGTGTGTAGTGGTCCTATGGACAGCATGTTCTTGGCTTGGGAGTGATATGACAGTGCCATCATTGTCGTAGTGTGTGTGGCGATGGCTACGGCAGCCTGTTCTTGGTGTGTGTGGTGACGGTGATAGCGGCATGGTCTTGGCTTGTGTGTGGTGACAGTGGTAGCAGTGAACTCTTGGTGTGTGCTTTGTGATGGTGACAGCAGTGTGCTCTTGGCGTGTGTGTGTGTGTGTGTGTGTTGATGGTGGCAGCAGTGTGGTGATTGTACTGTGTTCTGGGGTGAGTGTGTGAACTGTGTGGTGTGGGTCCACATGGAGACAGGTGAGTGTGCAGTGAGCACTGTGTCCCACACCAGTAGACTGGTGGTGGGCTATCAGGTGGCCTGCTGGCCTAGCCTAAGCCTCTGGCTGTGGCCCTGTACTATCAGCTGCCCTGTCCCTAGGTATGCTGACTCCCTTGGTGCGCCTGACTTCAGGCAGGGGATGCCCTGGCAGCCCTGGGGCCCTCCCTCTGCCCTGTGCTGTCCTCTGCTGTGAGGAGAGAATCTGGCCGAGGGCTGTGCCTGCCGTCTGGGCGGTTACTGGAGGAGCCCAGGAGTGCATAGCTGGCAGGGCCTGCCCAGTCTCAGCTTCATAGTTCCTCCTGTCCATGGCCCAGGCCCTTGGGCACCGACTGTGCAGGAGCTGAGGGCCACCTCCCCAACTTCACCTCCTGCCCAGCAGTGCTTGCTCTGGTGGTCCCACTGAAAGGCATCAGGCCCAGCTGGTGGGGGGCGGTGTAGACTGCAAGTGGGTATGCTTTGGAAAGCCGCTCTAAAGGAAGGTTCTCCAGCTGTGCTAACAGCTGCCCAGATTTGTGGATGCAGCCTTGCACATGTGCGGTGCATGCATGTGGCAGGTGTTGGTGCCAGAGGACTGCCGTACGTGTGGCCCAGGGCGCCACCTGCTGGGACATGGTGGATTCACAGGCAGCTTTCAGCAGCCTGGCAGCACACTGACCACGAGAGGGGCCGCAGGATGCCGAGTTGGTTGAGGTGATTGAGTTGGATGATTACTGTCAGCACAGACTGGCCCCTTGGCCGGCCTCGTGGTGTGTTGCCCAGCACACCACATTCCTGGTGGGGAAACAAGTCTGCCTTGTGAGGGGATGGTGACCTGTGGGCTGAAGAGGTGGCTCGGCAGCTTTTCGGGGACTGGTTCTTAGTCTCAATATTTACAAAATGGGCTTAAAGTCCTAAATAGGTAGGATTCTCCATTCCCCCAAGATTTTAAAGAATCAGAACCCAAGCTAGTTGTTTGGAAAACCAGTATTAGAGTCAATGTTTTCCATAACTTTAGATAGAAGTCATTTTACATATTTTCAGAAATTTCCCTAGACATGACTGCAGCCCACAGTGGTCTCTACCGAGGGCCCTGGGTCGTTGGGATGGAGTTGCCTTATGTGGGAAGGGGAGCTCAGGTTGCTAGGCCTTGCTGCTTCCTGCACACCAGTCCCTTCTGCTTCCACCCCATCTTAGATGTGATGGGCAGGGCTTGGCCCATCCTACCTGCAGTGGGGTGGCTGATCCCATCCTAGATGCAGTAGATTGGCTGGGCCCATCAGAGGTGCAATTGGGTGACTGGTTCTATGATGCAGTGAGATACCAGGAATATGGGATAAGACCCAAGCCTGGCAGAGTCCTGTCTCCTCAGCCAGTCTGGGGTGGCATTCTCACAGGTCCTCTGGGGAGCAGAGAGCCCAGCCTTCAGCATAGCCCCCAGGCTTGGTGCTGGCTAGGCCCCTGTGGATTCATGCTCTTCTCTAAACCCCATCTTGGCAGGTCCCCATTATCAAACTCACTGACCAGGAGACAGAAGTGAAAGTCGACATCAGTTTTAATGTGGAGACTGGAGTGCGAGCTGCAGAGCTCATCAAGAGCTACATGAAGGTTGGTGTTGTGATGGCCCTGGCAGTGCAGCCAATTGAGTAAAAATGCCTGTCCGTCCTGTGTCTCCAGGGATGCTGAGACAGGCCCCCAAGGCGGCACTCGTGACCCGTGTATGTCAGACCATGTGCGAGACTGGACCCTGAGGAGGCTAAAGGCTGCCATGCCACTAGGGTTGTTTGCCGCATGTTTCCCTGCAAATAGCAGGGCGAGTGGTCTCCTCTGTGCTGTTAGCAGTGCTGTGCAGATGGCCCAGTGGTACTAACAGGCTTTTGCTGGAGGTAGCACAAGCCAGGAGGCCATCACTGCAGTCAGGGTCTCTTGGAGTGCTGTTTGCCTTCCACACAGTCAGCTCTTCTCTGCGGGGCCATGTCCATCCAGCAGGGTGTGACACGCACATCCATGGACTTCTGCTCAGATGCATGTGCCTCCTTGCCTCCCCTCTCTCCTCCCCTTCCCCTCTCCTCTTTTTCCTCCTCGTATCTTCCATCTCCTGTTCTCACTCCCCTCTCTCCCCTCCCGTTCTGTACCCTCCTCAGCCTGGCATGTTCTGTCCCCTCTCCCCTCCAGTGCCCTCTCATCTAGAAGGCCTGTTGCTGGCTCACATAAACAGTGCTGCTGCCGCAGTTCCTGCCACCCTCCCCCACTTGCTTTGCTTCTTGGGTGCGGGGATGTCCCATGCCTGGACCTGCCTCTATGTGGGAGGCAACCTGCTGGCTCTTTCTGCCTGCAGGCCCCTTCCTCAGTCATTGGGAATCTAAGCATGGCTTAGATTATAACAGCCAGCTGCCTGGGTCTCTGATGGGCGGGGGTTTGATTACACTTATCACGTGCGCAGCTCAGTAAGTGAAATGTTTGTGAACATGGGTGAGTGACTCAGTGACTGTTTCTCTTCTCTGGAATTGCAGAAGTACTCCCTGCTGCCGTACCTGATTTTAGTGCTGAAGCAATTCCTCCTGCAGAGGGACCTGAACGAGGTTTTCACAGGTGGAATCAGCTCCTACAGTCTCATTTTAATGGCCATTAGCTTCCTGCAGGTGTGTATGCTGCCATGCGAGGGCTCTGGGCAACCACAGTTTCCCATCACTTCCCAGGCCTCTTTGGGTCCTGGGTTCAACTTTTGCATTTGATTAGGACCTCTTGGAGTCACCTCACTGCTCCCTTGTTGATTGAAGCTGACTCGTGGCTGATTTCAAAGCTTAGAGCAGGAAGGGCTTGTCTTGGTCCACAGGTGGACCCTGTGTCTATCGAAGCTCCAGGAGAAATCACTGTTTCACACCTTGTTTTAGGCTAGGTTCTCTAGAAGAGTGAAACCAATGAGTGTGTGTACATAACCAGCTTCCAGCCGACCTACCGGAGGGTTTCAGACTGAATCCCATGGGAGGAGCGTGTGTATGTGCATTTGTAAAAGAGGAGAGTGGTATAGTACTTACCTAAAGTAAATGACTCAACACATTGCACATGGGTAGAAGCTTGCAGTCCCAGGCCTGGGCCGTATAGCTGAGGAGGGTGAGGAAGCCAAGGTTGGCAGGTCAGGCAGAACTTCGCTCAGAACCGAAGAACTAAAGCTGTGATGAGCCAGATGCAAGCGAACTCCTTCTGAACTCAGCGCAGACCACACTCCACCCCAGTGAAATGCTCCTTTGAATGATTAGACCATCCAGCCTTGTCAGAGGAATGACCGGTTGATCACTGTAACTGCCAAAACACAATCAGAGGCAGCCACCCTGTACCCTAACTTCCTGTACCCTGACATCCTGCACCTCCCCTGACACCCCACGCCCTGACATCCTGCACTCTAATTTCCTGTACCCTGACTTCCTGTACCCTGACTTCCTGCACCTACCCTGACACCCCACGCCTTGACATCCTGCACCTTGGTGCTTGACTGTGCTCAGAATTTCTCATTCTGTGTTTTTGTGGGTAGTGAGGCCCACACCAAGTTTGAAATTTTGCTCATTTGAAATGCATATAACGCTGCTGAGGGCTGTGACTGTGAATTCCGAATGTGTCACCTGTGTATCTCACTCAGGTTGTGTGGGTGAACCAGTTCAGTCTGTCCTGGATAGAACTTTGAGGGTTCTGTTTCAGAAGAATGGAATCACGGGCGCCTGCTGCCTGAGCTATGACATGTGGTTTCCAGTCTACAGGACCAGGAGCTGGTGGCCCAGCGGGCATCTGTCTGGGTGTGATCTCATGGATTCCCCTTTGGTAGACCAGGCTCAGAGCACTGTTACAGTTTTGTCAGGGCCTTTATGGGCCATGACTGTGGAGGTCCTGCTGGTGCCTGGCCCAGCTCTGAGTGTGTGGCTGGGCCACCAAGTGACTGGTCACACCACACAGTGACTGATCCTGACCCGCAGAATAGCTGCCCGCTATGTGGGATCTGGAGCAGGCCTCCGAGCCTGTCCCCAGGCTGTCTCTGTTCCCTTCACAGTTACATCCACGAATTGATGCGCGGAGAGCAGACGAGAACCTTGGAATGCTTCTGGTAGAGTTTTTTGAACTGTATGGGAGAAATTTTAATTACTTGAAAACTGGTATCCGAATAAAAGAAGGAGGTGCCTACATTGCCAAAGAAGAGATCATGAAAGCCATGCCCAGTGGATACAGACCGTCGATGCTATGCATCGAGGACCCCCTGCTGCCTGGTGAGGGTTTCATCTGTGTGATGGGGACAGCCTGGTGAAACCACTGTTCATGTGGGGAAAACAGAACAGAGAGTATCCCTTAACTGCCTAGTAGGGATACTGTCCATAGGAGGGGTCAGGGCAGAGGGAACCCCTTACTGCCTGGTGAGGGCGCTGTCCATGTCGGGGGGGGGGGCGGGGGACAGGGCAGAGGGGACCCCTTACTGCCTCATGAGGACACTGTCCATGATGGAGGTATAGGCCAAGGAGACCCCTTACTGCCTAGTGATGGCAGATTGTTCGGATGTGGAAAGAAGGCGGGGCTCCCTGAGGACACCTTATCACCCAGGAAGGACAAGCCACTCAGCACTTAGGGATGGGAGGGGCTACTGAAGGGGACTTGAGAGGCAGAGGGGCTTCTGATCTTGAAGTGGATCCTGTCGAGAGACTTTGGATTTCCAGTCATTCGTTGTTATACTTCTCTTCCCGCCCATTCCTCCCTCCCAGTTCTCTCTTCTCTTTGAAAAGTGAAAGAAAAATTCTATCATTGTTATATAGTCCTTTCCCCCAAGTCCAGTCCACTGTGCAGCCTTCATTCTGGACTCCTGTCATGACAATAATACCTAATCATATCCCTTTTAAGTGGTTCTCTCCCTCATCTGTTTCAATGCAGTATACATAATTTATCCCCTCTTTCTCAGTCTCCTCTCAATCCTCATGTTAGTCCCATTTTACAACAGTGGCACTATGCAATATTTGTTCTTTTGTGACAGATATTTCACTCAGCATAATGTTCTTCAGGGTCACCTATTTTGTATAATATTGCATGAGTTCCTTGTTTTTCAATGCAGCATAGTATTCCATTGTGAATATACCACATCTTCTCTGTCCATTCGTTTGTTGATGGGCACTTGGGTTGTTTCCAACTCTTTGCTATTGTGAACAAAGCTGTGATCAACATGGGTGTGCATATATCTGCTTGGGTAGTGGTTATGGTTTCTTAGGGTAAATTCCCAGTAGTGGAATTGCTGGGTCAAATGGTATCTCTATTTGCATCTTTGAGAAAGCGCCATACCGCCTTCCACAGTAGTTGCACCATTTTACACCCCCACAACAGTGAATAAGGGTTCCAGCTTCTCCACAACCTCACCAGCATTTGTTGCTTGCTGTTCTGTTAAATTTTGCTATTCTTACTAGGGTGAGATGATTATCTCAGTTGTTTTGATATGCATCTCTTGAACATTTCTTCATGTGTTTTTTTGGCCGTCTGAATGTCTTCTTTGGTGACACGAAGAGTCCTCATTTTATGCTTCTATCCTACCATCTTTTTGTATTAGAGATCTACAGTCTCTAATGAGCTAAAATGTAGAAAGAACCAACTGAGAGTTAACCTGGTTAAACTCCACTCCTGTGACAAAGTGTCCACTCCCCAGTTCCTTGGGGTGTGAAAGTGATGCTTGTCACACTGCCCTTGCTCCCGTGGTGTTTCTCTTGCTTACCTGCTGGTGCCCTCTGCAGTTGTCTTGGTAGCATTGGCATCAGGGATGCCTGACCCTTCTCCTCTGGATGCACTGTTAAAGAAGGCCGTGCCATGGAAATTGAGTTGAGGGGCTCTTAGGCTCCTCCCATGAGGCCACAAATACCCTGTCCCCTTCTTTGTCCTACGTGTAGAGAGACCTGAGGTGGCCCTGTGGGTCCTTGCGGGTGCAGTGTCCTCACCACCTGGCTGGGTGGCCCCTGCTGGAAGGCCTGTGCTAGCTTGGTTGGGGACCCACCCTGTGTAACTTCCCACCCCACTGGCGCTCTGGCTGACCTGCTGCTTCCGTGCTTCAGGAAACGACGTGGGCCGGAGCTCATACGGGGCCATGCAGGTGAAACAGGTGTTTGACTACGCCTACATCGTGCTGAGCCATGCTGTTTCCCCCCTCGCCAGGTCCTACCCCAACAGAGACTCCGAGAGGTAAGGGGCCTCACACCGTGGGGCTTGTCAGTGAGAGGATTGGATAGTGCTCTGGTGGGTCCTGGGTGTCTTGCAGGACCGCTGACTGCAGAGATCTTTGGGGGTGTGGGGTGGCGCTATAGTTTGTTCTCTGTAACTGGTAGACATCAGTGTAAGTTCACTAGTAGCACCTAGAAGAAAGTCCCCGCGCCCTGATGCCATGACGGTCAGAGCCCGGTTGGCCCTGGGGAGCGTAGTTCCACTCTGATACTCAGAGTTGCTGTGAGTCAGACATAAACTCGGTTTCTGTGTTGGTGACATTGTTGTGACATTGGAATGTGTTTCTATAAGAAATCTAAGTCCCAGGGACCAGCATGGTCATACTTGATTGTTTCTGGTTTAGCACGGAGAAATTTCTCACTTGGGGAATGGAATTACTATTTTCTTGGGATATTTTCTCTTGGAAGGTGAATTCTGCTTTTGAAAAAGGCCAGGAAGTATATTTTATGCAGGTTGTGAATCTCAGCCTTCCTCACTTTCTCGTACTTCCGTGCCTGGGGTGGAGGGGGGGTCCTGGGTACCAGATGAGGCCAAGGTGGTGGCTTGATTTAAGCTTCCTTTCTTCTGTACATGGGTGTACAGGACATGGACGTGAGCCAGACCGTTCTCTGTAGGGTGGTCTGGGGACCCACAGTGAGTCCTGCAGCCCCTCCCACGTTGTTTTGACCACTCATAATAGGGGTCCGAGCTAGTGGCTATTGCTCAGGATTGCACTGTCTTCACAGCACACTGGGACGCATCATCAAGGTCACACAGGAGGTGATCGACTACCGGCGCTGGATTAAGGAAAAGTGGGGCGGCAGGGCCAGCCCAGCACCTGAGTTTGGTGAGCTTGGTGAGCAGAGGTGCGGCCATGGCCCCTGGTCACCATGAGTGTTGCCCATGAGACAGCCAGGCCCGTCCGTGTTGCCTCATGGAAGGGGGGCTGTGCCCTATGGGTGTAGTGTAGTTCTCCACTCACTGCAGGATGGAACCCAGACGTGGGTGAGGTTGAAAGAGTGAAAGTCCAACAAGTAATCAAAATGATAAAAAGTTACTAGATATTTTATGGATCATTTTGGTCCTGAGTCTTTAATTCTGTGCATCTTACTTGCAGTCCTATTTTCTCAGTAGTACCTGGTATGTAGCTAAATTGAATACACTTCCAATTGAAAATGTGCACTAAAATTATACCTCATATAAGTAAAAAGTCTTCTGACACCTGAGCTAGTGGTTGTTTGAAATTAGAAATGGACGTGGATTAAAGTCCTCAAGGGCTGTAGTCTGTCGTTAGATGGATGTGAAGGTCAGCAAGGGTTGAGGTCTGTATTGGCTTCATTAGATGGATTTGGATTTAAGGCAGTAAGGGCTGGAGTCTGCACCATTGGTTGGATGTGGATTAAGGTCAGTAAAGGCTGGGCTCTCTGTTAGCTCCACTGGGTGGATGTGAGGGTCTGCATCAGCTCCATCTCGGGTGCTCCAGGGCCCCCTCCCACGGTGACCGCAGGCTGTTTCCCCACACAGACAACAGGATGAAGATGAAGGAGCACATCACCACCTGCAACGGGGAGCAGACTAAAGGCCGGGACCCAGGCTCACCCTACAGCCAGCGCCTGACCTTGTCCCTGTCCAGCCCCCAGCTCCTCTCCTCGGGCTCCTCTGCCTCCTCTGTGTCTTCGCTCTCTGGGAGTGACATAGTGAGTGCCTGGCCCCTCCACTCCCCCCAGGGCCCACCTGCTCCAGTCCAGACACCCACTTCACCTGTCCCTGCTTGTGGGGCTCCACCCCACCCCACCCACTCTTCCTGGTCCCGTGCTCTCCATTGCACTGCCCCCTGGGCCCACCCTCTCCTCCTGCACTACGACACGGGACCAGGCCCCATCCACTCAGCCCCACTTCTCCCCCACCCACCCTCTCCCCCTCTGCGATGTGTTTCTGGCCATCTTTCCCAGGACTCGGACACTCCGCCTTGCACTGCACCCAGTGTTTACCAGTTCAGCCTCCAGGCCCCCACGCGGCTGATGGCCACCCTTCCCACAGCATTGCCAATACCCAGCGGCAAACCTCAGTCCACCACTTCGCAAACCTTGATCATGACCACGAATAACCAGGTATGTGCTGTGGTGGGTCTTACATCCAAGGGCAGGAGTGAGGATGGGCAAGAGGGGACAGGTGTGAGGGTCCCTTCTTTGAGGTGAGGAAGGTGTGAGTTCCTTCCTGAGTTGAGAGTGGATGTGAGGGTCCCTTCCCTGAGGTGAGGGTGGATGTGAGGGTCCCTTCCCTGAGGTGAGGGCAGGTGGATGTGAGGGTCCCTTCCCTGACATATGGGTCCCTTCCCTGAGATGAGGTCTGGTGTTTGTTTCTTATCTGAGGTGAGGGTAGTTGCTGATGCCCTTTAGGGTGAGGGTGGGTGTGAAGTCCCTCCCTGGACATGAAGATATCACAGTTCCAAGTTGGTGACAGTTATTTTGAAAGTCTTAAACCTACATTGCTGCCATACTTAATGCTTAAAGTGTTTTCATGTTATGAAATGCCTTCAGTTCAGCATAAAGTGCTAGTTTCTCAGTGACCACAGACCCTCCAAAGCCCCTTTCAGAAATGTAGTTCCCACCTCCGTGAACTTGCCGGCCTGCCTTCTGGGTGGGCTGTGTCCATCTCCTGCAGTCCTGTCGGGCCTCATGGGGATTCCCTCCCTTCTTTCCAGACCAGGTTTACGATCCCACCCCCGACTCTTGGAGTGGCTCCTGTCCCCTGCAGACAGGTCAGCCTGGAAGGCACAGCGTCCCTGAAAGCCGTCCACCATATGTCTGCCCCCACCGTTCCCTCCACCCCTCACCCGCTGGCCAGCCCTCACCTGTATCATAAGGTACGCATCGACCACTGCTCCCCACCTGGCTGAGCCAGTGATCAGCGCCCTGTGGTGGGTGACACCTCCTCCTCCAGAGACAAGACCATGTGGGGAGGTTCCTTGTCTGCTCCACCAGGAGGAAAGCTGGATGGTGCTGAGGCCTCTGCTAGCTGTGCTGGGCCTTCTCGGCCCCCACCCCGTCTGCCTTCACATTGTTCAGCATGTAGCTCAGATTTGAAATTCATGGTGCCCGTGATGTAAGAGTCTTTGACCTGGTCATCTGTTCACTTTCATGCTCAGTATGCTGATTCTTAAGCAGCAGACATTAGGACCTGGATGGGATCCAGCCCCCGCATGTGGTTTGAATCACTTCACCCTCCGCCCCCTAAACACCCTGACTTCAGGCCTCAGGTGGCTTGTTTGCCTTACTTTCTGGAAGGTTCTCCTGCGGTGTAGTTAAGGCTTTGCCAGTTTTCCTCTGGTCTCTTGCGTATTAGATCTGGCTGGTCCAGAAAGCAGGTGACTAGTAAGCTCTTACCTGCCCGTGAGTGGCTCAGAAAGTTAGAAAAAGCGACCAAAGGTTCCGCGTATGGGACCAGAGAACAGAGGTCCTGTGGCCCCCAGTTTCTGGGGAGCTCTGAAACGCCCAGAGGTTGGTGAAGTCCCCCACGTCTGTCCCCTCAGGCCTCTTACTCACGTCAGCACCATTCGTTCTGCTTGGATTCCTGAGCCTTTTGACCTTGGGCAGTGCTGGTGGCTTCATCCACAGGGAGCCCAGCTGCTAACCTGCCTGCCTCTCTGGACCCCTCAGAGGCCCTGAGGGAGAAGGGCGGGCATTCTCCAGTTCAGCTTGGAGCCTTGGGAACCCAGTAGAGAGTCAGCTCTGGTTCCAGCTGATGGCCGAGAGTTAGGCGCAGCCCTGGCACCTGCGTTGGGTGGGAGCTGCCTGGTGAGGTCCCTGTCTGGCTTCTGCAGTCACAGTGGCCCTTCAGCAGCATGTGGTGCTCTGGGCTGGCACAGCAGAGGGGCAGCTGAGGCTCTAGTTGAGGCTGCCATCCACTCCTGGGCAGTTTGTGCTGACACCCTTCTGCTATTAGCGGTCCTCCTCTTGGTCTGTCTTTGAGGGCACTTGCGGCCTAGAGGTGCTCGTGGGACCTGGGCTCAGGCTATCGTGGGGGAGGACTAATGGCCATGGAGGTCCAAGCCCAGCCCAGCTGGCTAGTGGTTAGAGAAAGGGAGCCCTTGAGTGTCCATGGCCAGGGATGGGGGCTGCCTGTGCCGGTGACCTACTGCATGGCCAGTGTCCTCTACCTCAGGCAGCATGCTGATGAGAGGGGGTGCCACTTCCTCTCTGCCACCACACGTTGCACAGTCAGCGGCATGCATGGCATCAAATGGTCTGGCTTGTGGTGACAAATGGGCATGGCCCAAGGTCACTGAGGTGCTGTCTGAGGGGCAGTCCATGAGTATGCCCGTGTCTACAGACGAACTTTGCCTTCGTCTCCTGAGGCTGCAGAGCAGAGCCACCTTAAGGCTTAAGAGTAGCTGCTTAAAGGCCAGGACAGTCTAGAGGTTGAGGTCTAGTTGAGGTGTGAGGAGGCTGAGCTCCCGCCAGTGCTGTACTGAAGGGACCCTTCCTTCTCTCCTGGCTTGTGGCTGCAGGGTTCCCCAGCTTGTGGCCATCTCACTTCAGTCTGTCTGTCCCTAAATGATAGTCTCACTCTGTGCTCCTACTTCCCTTCCTAAAAGGACTTTGGTCACAGAGCAGAGGGTTTGCCATCCCGTGTGCTCTCCCGGTTCCCTCTACAGTGGTCCAGTTTCCGCAGTTGGCCCTGTGTGTTGGTGGCGGGTGTAGCATTTATGTGTGTCACCTGGGGACACCTCGCCTGCCAGGCTGCCACGCTGACCTCCCTGTGTTTTTCCAGCAGCACAACGGCATGAAGCTATCGGTAAAGGGCTCACATGGCCACAGCCAAGGCGGTGGCCACAGCTCAGTGGGCAGCGGAGGTGTGCGGCCGCCCGTGGGGAACCGGGGCCACCACCAGTACAACCGCACCGGCTGGCGGAGGAAGAAGCACACGCACACGCGGGACAGCCTGCCTGTCAGCCTCAGCAGATAATGGGGCAGCCCCCTGCACTGACCAGGCCCTCGCTGCAGAGGCCGGAATGGAGGCCAGCGGCATCTAGTCACCTCGAGGCCACCTCGCCTGCGCTGGCCTCTGCATGTCTTGTGTGGTGGCCGCATTCATCCTCCAGAACCGAGTGCCGTGTCGTCTGTGTGGACGCTGTTCTGCCTTCCGTGCTGCTGGGCCCCGGGCCAGGGGGGCAGCACCTGCCTTCCCACCTGCCTTCCCACGTGCACAGCGTGGGCGCACGGGCAGGGTGACCAGCTCCTCTGTGTTCGAGGTTTTGTTTTCCGTTTGTCAGAGCAGCAGAGGGGACCCCAGTGTCCCCCCTGGGCAGACGGGGCCAGGGACTCACCATTGTTTTACTGCCCTCATGCTGTGTTTGAAATTCCAGAACTCTTTTTTTCTATGTAAATATCGAAAACTTATGATTTGTGCAATAACTCAGATATTTTTTATTTAATTTCATATTTACATGTAAGTTATATTTAAGGGAGGAGGGTTTTTTAAACATGCCTAGAGGTCCTTTCCCCAGCTGCATTTTCTAAGTTGGGTTCATCGTCCCGCCGGTTACCTGAGCTCATCGAGCATCGTCGTAAACAGCACCGGGTGGGCTTCATGTGGACGTCTTTTTTTCCAGCTGGATGCCTGGCCCTGGGGTGTGAGTGGGTGTGAGACGCCATGCTGACTGGACACACGGGGACCAGCCGGCGGCCGCCCTGCCTGCCATACCACCTGTGGTCTTGCTCCGAACACTGAGTTCTAATGGTTTTGGTTTTTTATTCTTTTCAATAGACAACAAACCCAGCATTTAAAGTGCCAGAAGTAGAACTTTCTAAAGGGAGAACAGGCCATCACTTGGGAAAATACTGAAGAAACGTGGACTTGTAAGCGCGTCCGTCTGTCGTAGCCACGTAAGCTGTAATGACAGGGCTGGTGAAGGCCAATAGGAAAATGGTGCCCAGTTTTAGGGATGTGGAGAAAGGAATTATGTTGATTCCGTGGAGGAATCTGTGTAGCAGTGTGCATTTGTTCTGTTAAGAGCAACTCTACGGAGGACCCCATGGCTCCCAGCATGGGGAAGGGGCGCGTCCTCGAGTATCTAGGACCAGGCCTGGCACTGGCCCAGGCGGCTGGCCTGCCTTCAGATGCATCGGTATACTATGCAAGTGTGTTCTGCCACGGCAACCACTGTCCCGTTACCTTTTCTGGAACAAAAATACTTCCATCCTGCATAGCTGCGAGTCCCCAGAGCACCGCAGGTGTCCCAGAGCTCAGCCCCGGGCGATGGCCTGGTCCCTCTGACACTACAGGTAGGTTGGGGCTTGCAGTCCAGATTGGAAAACAGGCCACCACGTCGATGGGTGGAGTGGGCGCGCGGAGCCTCGAGTACCGCATCTGTCTGCCCTGCAGACCCTCCTGGAAGTTTCACACACACGCCCTCCGCAGTTCCTGGCCATCAGGAGTTCTCCGACGTAGTCAAGTATTTAAATTATGAACCTATCGGTAGAGAAATATTTATAAACGCTGACTCGTAGGCCTGTAGTAATCCACACGTTAGCAATACTGACGAGCTCACACTGAGGAGGCCGCAGCGCATCCGGGCCTGGTTCCCAGGACAGGGCCAGGCTCTGGCTGGCTGGGAGCCTGATGAATTGGCCAGGCTGCCACTGTGGTCACGGGCTGCAGGCGTAGTGAAAGATCATGGTTCAATTTTTGTGTATGTGAACAACATCGTGGAAGTGAAAATGGACATATTTTTATGTAAAAGTTTTCTATTCTTTGATTTTTAATAAACTTTGGAAACCAGCCTAAGGTTGATGCTGACTTGCCTGTGTTCCTCTCAAGGGCTGTGGCTGTCTCTGGTCTCTGTAGGATTATAAAGGGTAGGTGACTCCCAGGAACATGATGGTGGGGGAGAGGGGGTGTAATTCTGATCAGATGACCTGAAGGGATCTTGATGAGGGACTCGGCATCCCTGGGTGTCCTGTGCAGAAGCATTGCATGCCTGCTCGCCACCCCCAGGCTTCTAGACAAGGGGGGGTGTGTGTGTATACACACCCCCAGCGGGGGATTGTGAGCAAGTGGTGGTGACAGCTGGGATAAAGTGATCCCGGGGCTTCTGGAGGCTAGGGAGTCAGCAAGAGTTAAGTCGAGGTGGGCTGCAAAGAGCCAGAACCCATGGGGACGAGTGAAGCGGCTGGCGGGGTCAGCAGGGCCAGAGGAGGTAAACTTGGGGCTTTCTGGATGTCAGAGGGGTTAATAGGGACTGCAGGTGTGAGCTCTGGGAAGAGCAGCTATGAGGACCAGGGTGGGTGAACTAGCGGGTTCCAGAGGCCATGGGTGTCATCAGGGACAGGGTTGGCGAGCTTAGGGGTCCCAGAAGGCATAGGGATTGGTAGGGACAGGAGAGGTGAGCTTGTGAGTACCACGAGGCAGGGAAGTCAGCAGGGACAGGGGAAGTGAGCTTGGAGGTCCTAGAGGCCGTGAGGGTCAGCAGAGACAGGAGGTGAGCTTGGAGGTCCTGGAAGCCATGAGGGTCAGCAGATAACGGGCAGTGAGGTGGAGTGCAGGTCCGGTGTTGACAGGATTGTGAGGATGCTCCCATGCTGTGCCTTGGGGGAGGACGGCTTTGGTGGGAGGAAGGTGTGTATGTGGAAGTGGCTGTGTGTGAGGTGGGTGGTCACTTGGACACACGTGAGTAGACACAGGCACGCTCCACGGCCGTGCATGGTGACCAGGGCAGTGGGACCACCTGTAGCATTGCTCTATGGCCTTAATCTGGTCAATTTTGGGTGTAGCAATTCCAGTACGTCTGTGATGTCATTGAGTGCCCCCTACCTGTTGATAAACAGAGCTCAGCATCTCCCAACCAGCCTAACCACCTGTGGAACTTGACCCGTAGACTTCCCAGCTGGGCAGACCCTGCCTTTTGATCCCCAGGTGATTTAGATGGCCAGAACCCATGGCAAGGCAACCCTGCTCAGGGCTGCAGGCACCAAATGCACTGTGCACAGTGGCTGGAGACATCGTGGCCAAGGCCAAGGCCAGGGAGCAGGCAGGATGACAAGCTCTGGCTCTGCCCATGAGTCAATGGAGTGTGTGCATTGTACTGTGGTTACAGGCATTTATTTCTGATTCTGCTCTCCCCCCCCCCCCAAGGGCCTTTATTTGTAATAAGTCAAAGGGGCCCTTGGAGTGGCTGGCTAGGCAAGCAGGCTTCTCAGGGCCATTTGGGCAGATGAGCCAGAGTGGGGGTGGTACTGTCTAGTGAGTGGAAAATGGAACATTGGAGCAAGGCCATGGGTGTGTCTCTGAAGGGGCCAGAGGGAGGAAGAATAGCACAGCCCCTCACCACCCTATGGTACCTCTAGAGCCCCACCAGCAACAAGAAGTTCAATTCATTGACTCAACAGTTGCGGTACTGGGAATGGAGTTTATTAGGGAAGTAAGTTGGAGGGCAGGGGAGGCAAAGAATATCACCCAAAACAAGTCCAGGTTTTACGAGTTCCAAGGCACCATTCCTCAATTAGTCCAAACTCTGGTTTCAGTTCAGCAGTCATTCAAACCTTTCAGCAAGTTTTGCCTCAGTTCTAAGTCGGCTCTTTAGTTCTCCTGAAAGAACAGCAAAACCTTTAACTGTGGCCAGCACAAATTCAAGAAGCCTCAGGTCACAGTTATCCACAGCAATGCCACAGTCCCTTCACCACCATTACCAGGGTCTTGCGCTCGACAGGGTCTTGCTTCAGTGTCCCTCAAGTCTTGCCTACCACGTCTAGCCACCACAAATCTTGCTCACGTCAAGTCTTACTCCTGGGAAGCACTCTTTCTCTTACCCAAGCTGTTGACGATTTGCATAACCATGTGTCTGCAATTAACGTAGCTGGAGACCAGAGCGCACTAAATGTAGTGCTTAAAATAGCCAACTTTTAGGCTAACACCCCCAGTGCCCTCCGAGTCCCCTGTATCATCACCCTGGGCTGCTTCAAGGACAAGTGGGACTGGCTTGAAGATGGGTAAGCTTCAGAGGCTTCAGCCTCCAACACTTCTGAAACATGCTGCTTGGTTAGCATCAACCATCGGTGCTGCCTGCTGTTAGGACCCAGGGTATCTTATCCCAGGTGTAGGGAGTGAGCCTCTTCTGGGACCCTATCTGGGGGATCAGCAGGTGATTCAGGGCAGCTGGGTTTGGGAAATACCCCCAGGACTGGGCTCAGTACCCTTTTGCAGGGGCCCTTCTGAGTAAACTTTGGCTGCTATTCTCATCATTGAGACCAGATTGAGAGGCACTCCCTTGTGGACTGGCACCCCTGCCCATTCACTTCCTGTTCTGGGCTCTCTCTGCATTGCCACTATCCTGTCTCTGTTCTATCCTGTGCCATCCATACACTTCTTGACACACTAGAGCAGTGACTGCCAATCCACCTGATGATCTTCCTCTCCTTCACCAACCCACCACCCTTCCAAGCATGATGCCCAGAGTATATGATGCAAAGTCTCATAATTCTTGCCTCCAAAGGGCACTGACTGCACCCTCTCAAAGACATAACTTCTCCTGGCCTCCATGAGATGTCCAGTACTCTTCTCCAACACCACAGCTCATAGGCCACAATTCTGTTATCCTTATTCATTACCCAGTTTTCAGATGCATCATAGCAAGTGACCAGAAAGATCGTATCCTGAATCAGACTCACCTTAGTCCTCAAACATAACTGCTCCTCAGTTATTTGGAGAGGTCCCTCCCTAGCTGTAGATTTTCCCAGTACATAATGTTTCCTGATTTCCTGACTGTTGGTACCTAGGGTGTTTGCAGATCCAAGCAAGATGAAATTGTTGACAGTTTAAAACCTTTCTCCATCTATCATGATGTCTGTCAATCCGGTGGTAAGAATTTTTGTTGATGTTGAGATGCAATCCATTCTGAAGGCTGTATTTGATCTTCTGGGGAAAAAAATGCTGCAAGTCCTCACTTTGAGTAAGCAAGGTTATGTCAT